ATACGCTCGCCCCTTGTCTGTGTTAGTAAGCGGCCGCCTAGCCGTTGCTGACAGTAGGGGGACGGTCCGCTTGACGAGTCCGTGCTGCTGGCTCCCAGTTCCAAAGACCAGAATTGGATGACCGACGTGTCGAGCGTCCCATCATGGCATTGGCCTCGCTGTGGCCTTCCAAACGGAACCCACACGGATCCAGGACTTCGCACGCAGATCTTGACATGGCTGGGGCGTGAGGATTTCTTTGTGGACACCACTGTTCAGAAAGCGCGCTCTAGGGAGACCGGCCTCGCCGTCCTGCTTAAAGCAGCTCTCATTTACTCTGATTTCCAGCACATAGCCGATCAGAACTTTGACCACGGCGGTGTGCAGCAGTTGCGAACGTCTACGATACTGGAGGTTGCTGGCGAGCTAGAAGGCGAGCTGACGCAGTGGGTGGCTGAGCAGGCCTCCCTTCTGGAGGCGCTGTTACCACAACAAGGCTTCTCCGACGATGACGAAGAGGACGCAGATCTACCCTATCTCACAGTGCCAGAGTCTGCTCACCCTGAAGACGCCAATCCAGTCCTACCTACGTCAAGACGCCGTCCGCTGGGATCCGAGTCTCCTCCCCCCAGTCTACTCGCCGCGCCGTTCCAGGCCATACAGCTCTCTCAGCTGTCTACCACGGAGACGGTGGGCCAGTTTAGGGCAGCGATGAATGCAGAGCCTCTGTCTGCTGCGCAGGTGTACAGTCGTCAGGGTTTGGAAAACATCGCCGACGAACCGTTGCGTAGAGAGGCGAACCGACGCATCCGGGGCGCGCGTAAGAAGGATGGCGACCGACAAACTAGTTCAATACGCAAGCCTGCCCACCAGCGGCAGCGGCCCGATTTCCCTACGGCTGGTGACGACATCCCCAGCGATTCCAGCGGGCATGGCCCGCCGCCTCCGAAGCGTCCTAAACGCCATCATCCCCAGCCTAAACGCATCGGTCGGCCTGAGACTGCTGGTACCCAACCGCAAGAAAGGGGCCGGCAAAAGCGGAAGTCTGGTACTGCTTCCCGCGGGCGACGTGGCAGGAGGAAGGGGTCCAGCAGCCCGAAGCCTGCGCAGATGCCCAAACCCGGCGCCTCCAGAAAGCGCGGTCGTCGAGCTTTGCCCGACTCTGACGCAGACGACGAAGCTCAGATTGCCGACTCGAACACTTCCAGGCGGCATGACGTCGTCGCGCCTCACGACTCAGATCAGGAGATGCCAACGCGTATCAGCAAGTCGCTGGGTAAAGCGACAAGTGGACGCGCCCAACCAGTTCTATTCAGCGCTGGTGCTTCGACTGCCAGCGCCCTCGATACAGACGAACTCGACGCCGCCCGCTCTCCACGCCCAGTACGCAGGGGGCTGGAACTGGCCTTTATTCAGGCGAATCCCATTGGAGTCCGGCTTCCAGAGCCTACGACGTTCGGAAGCCCCGGCCAAGCCGGCGCCCAACGTGTGTTGCGCTCACAGGCAGTGGCCGGGCCAAGCCAGACAAGGACGCGCCAGCGCCCAAAGGCGCGCCCAGTCGTGAAGAAAGTGCCTGCTTAACGTTCTGGGTTCGCCTCATGTATTACGTCTGATTGTCATTACATTCACGTATCCCCCATAGCCAGCATGTGTCAACTACTTAACCATCTCAGTCATCCACGTCAATTTGATCATTATGCTCGAATTCCGGAACGGGGACAAGAAGGGGAACCGGAGTGTTTGCCTGGCCACTTGCGACTTCATGGCGGCGCTGCGCCACAGCCGCCACTTTCTGACTCTCAGCGTGTACTGCTTCAAATCGTTCTTCCTCGTACGCCAGAATGGCTTCTAGGGAACGACTCATCTGCCAAACTTGCTCCTTCACGTTGCTTGTGCGCTGGAGAAGTACTGTGAGCTGGCCCAGGAAGTCCTGAACATCTGCGCCCTAGGTTTGTCAATGAACGAGCGTGCATGAGAAACATCGGTAAGATCGTACGTTATCGACAGTGTGTCTTCCGACGTTAGTCGTCACAGTGCGAATAATATGATCACTCAAGTCGAAGATGACGCCGCGCGCCTGCCTATCGATGATGTATTTCGACGACAGCCAGTCGCTCGGCAAATCCAACCACCACTGGGGAAACCCGGTAGTATCAACGGGCGGAGTTGGGCGGTTCATTGTCTCGCGTGCCAGGGTAGGAAGCGATGCGAAGGCCTCTGCCCTACGATCTTCGTCACACTCCTGCGTGGCAAGGATGATAGGGGAATGTGGGGGAAGATCTCCAGTCTCAAGGCGCTGCTTGCCCCAGATTGACCGATATACCATCTAGCCCAGGCCATGTAAGCATATTGTCGAGCATGGGCGGGGGGCATGCTTACCAGCTCAGAGGAGATGGAACGCATGATTCCTTCATCGTAACGCCAAGGCTTCCCAAAGCGTATGTAGACTTGACTGAATCGGTACTCGGCCGAACGCCAAATCGCTTCCTGCGGATACTTGCTTCCGGTATGGGTGGTGGACATGACGGAGTTTGATGATCACCATCCCGCGGCGCTGTCCTCCCAGCCGCCGCGTCAGTCGCCGTGAGAACTGATTTCGGCACTCACCGGCTTATATGCCCGCCTAGTCTCTTGGTGGTACAACGTCCATCCCCAGATTCTGATGCCTCCCTCACCGATCACGATATCCGATGATGAGAGCACAGGCGACAAGTTTTCGGAGGACAACAAAGTGGAACGTTACATCTGCGAGGCCCGTTTTACAGACCTTCTTGCCACCATAGGGCCGCAGTTTTGCCAGTCAGACCGTTCTCAGCAACTGAATCTAGCAAATGGCATGCGTTTCGAGGCCGTGAGTGTACGTTCCGACTACTTTGGGTTTCTAAGACCAACCCTCGTTTAATAGTCGTTCGCTGCTGCTTTAAGCGGCTCTCTTGCGATTCGAGGGCTCAAGATCATGCGCATACCACCACAAGGGCCTCTTCAGGAGTCGGTACAAGCGCTCATTCAACGCTTCGGCTTTGTCTCGCCCGACAGCGGGCGGCATCTCATGGCGGCAGCCCACCTTTTCGATCAGTTTGTCGAGGAGCACCTTGATCACTACTACACCGGTCCCCGTCGTGTCTGGACACGGCAATCGGAAGCCCTCCTCAGCTGCACTTTCGGACGAGAGTTCAAACAAGAAGATACGTACTGGTGGCGCTCACAATCCAGCAACATCATAACTGGAAGCAATATCGCGAGGGCCGGTCTGGCTGCGCATCTGTACATGACTTACGAAGTGCGCTTTACAATCACGCGGTCATTCACTAGACTGACGGCAGACTGATGATAGCCCTTCAAAAGCCAATCTTCTGCACCAGCTACCACACAGGCGTCGCTTGATGTCATATTCGCGGTTGAAACCCTCTTGGGTGAAATCAAACGACTCCGCGTCCAACTCCTAGAGCACCAGCGACAGCTCATCATGATGTCAGTAGATCGCGAGATTCAGCTGGCGGCAGTGTACAGCGCAGCCTACGACGGTGTCGCTGAGAGTGCATCGGATGCCGTGCATGAGATTATAGGAGGCTTAGGCGTCGCTGGCGATCGCGAGCAGGTTCGAGAGCTGATGAGAAGGTGGGCAGGACGGGCGTAAGTAGTGGAAGTATTATACTATTCACGGAATGCTGTGAACGTGTTATAATCTCCCTCCTTCCGTGACCATAGAGTAGCGTGTGAACATCAGCTGGATGCCCAAGGTGGCGCCCGGTCATCAGTCCGTAACCTAGTTAGAGCCTCCACCATGTTCTCTATGCGCGAGCGGGAATGGATCGTTTACACCGCCAGGCACACTGCCATAGTACGGGCACTAGGTACTTCCATAAACCCCATCTTAGAAGGACCAGACGTCAGTATGCGACTGGTGTCAGAAGGCCTGCAGTTCGAGGAGGTGCGCCGGCTTAAAACGTGGGTAGTGGCGGTGCTGACCAAACAAAGGCGCTTGCAGCAGCAATCAGCGGCACCAGAGCGATCCGGAACGAACCTCTCGCAGGACGCTGGCAAGATCTGTGCCAGGCGGGTGCTCTGAAGAACCCATCGGAAAGTTATCGCCGCGTGGTCTGCTCGGAGGACATACCCTATTGGCGTATCGACCTTGACACCGTCAATAGCACCGTAACCTCCATCATGGCCGGCACAATGCTGGAAGCTGGTGTTACTCACGACGATCGAACCATATCTGGGCCGCTCGTATTCTGGTGGGAGGACCCCGATGACAGGGATTTTATCAGCTCTAGACGGCCGGGTGTGGCTCGCGCCGCTCTTGCTGCCGCGCTGTACCATGCCTCCGAGGTATTATGGCTGTGCAAGGACGATCTGCGGAAGCTAATCTGATTTATGGCAGGTGTTCCAGCCCCCAGTTACAGTTCCGCCCGGCGTCGTAGACACGCTCGAAGATCTTCTAGGACACACTGCATCCTTGCGCGCCGGGCTGGAAGAAAATGCGACTTTATTAGCAGGTGCAGCCGAGCGATGCAAGCAGTTCCTGCTGGCGGGACAACAGGACGTGGAAGCAATCATGCATCATGTACACTTGCCTGCTGTACCGGATCCCAGTAACCACGAATGAGCTCTCTTTTGGTTGACTTCAAGACTGTCAATTGAGATACGAGGAATCGACGTGGGTAATACAGAAAGAACGTGATATGAGGGAAACTATGCGTACACATTAGCGAAGGAATACGATAATACGAAAGAGCATGAGTGATACGAAACATGGGGAGGACTGCCGAGAACCAAGAACAAACATCGTAAGGAGCCAAAGGACATTGAAAAAAGCGACCGCAAGTCGTCAACCGCGAAGGGCATCGCGTGCAGTACTGCGAGCGGGCTGGCGGCGGGTGGGAGGACCATGAGCGCGGCGGCGACGCGAATTGCCAGGCGTAGGAGCCCCATCGACCTGCATCGGCTCCGCTCCGACAAGGGTCGCGTTGTCTGCATCGTCTGTCTCTCCTTCCCCGTCGGCGTCTGAGCTGGAGATAGACCGGCCGCGAGACCGCTTGGCGGCAGGCGGGGGAGCGAGCGCAGCCGCGTGAGAGTCGCGCTTCCGTGCCAGGAAGGCCGCCGCATCCTCGATCTCCTCATCGCTGTCGCTAGCGCCTGCCGCACCCCGACCCTGAGACGCTCCAGAAGTCAAAGGGGACATTGGAGAGGGAAGGCGTGAACGTCTGCCAGGTGCGGACAAGACGGGCGGAGATGGAAAGGCACGCGGTGTCGAGCCCTCCCGACTTAAGCTAGCCGCCCTGGAAGACGGGGGAAGTGGTCCTGTCTGCGGCCCATAGAGGGCAGGGGTCCCATGAACGGCGGGAGTAGGTGTCGCCGATGACGAGCGGTGAGAAGACGAGGAAGCAGTCGCAGCGCCCACTACCGCGTTCGCCAGATTGGGAACAGGCACCACGGCCGTCTGCGGCTGCGGCATACCCAGGCGTTCCTGCTGAGTAGTCGAGTGGCCAGAGAGAGCAGGCGAGGAACGATTGGCGCGGTCGCCGAATACTGGTGGACTTGAACGGGCAGGCGCATCTATCCCCATTGGATGAGCCTCGGCAACTGCCGATGCGTGCCGAGATTCCGAAGATGCGTGCCGAGATTCCGAAGATGCTCGTGAGGGGACATCGTTTCCGGCCGGGCGATCCAGCCCATTCGGGGAACCGTGCGGGGAACCGACGCGCATGCTGTTGAGACGCCCCTCCAAAGCTTCCAGTCTACCACCGAACCCATCCAATCTCCCAGAAAGTCCATGGAAGTCTTGTGCCATCCCGTCTATCCGGACCGTGAGCGGTCGCGTTTCCGCTTGGAGGTCGCGGAGCATGGTCTCCTTCATGCCCCCCATCTGCACCTTCAGCTCCTGGAACATGACCTGCATCGCTCCCACGCTGACAGGTTGCTCGGATTGTCCGGTGGAAGCCCCAGACATGGCAACGGTGGAGGATGAAGTTGTGGTACCAGCCACGGGCACCTGCCTATCTTCCAACGCACGGAGTCGCTCGTTCGCCCACTCTTGGCTGCTCAGGAGACGTTCTTGCCCAGCGACCAGAGCACGGAGAGTCTGCCTGTCAGGTGCATGGGCGTCGGCAATCTTCGAGGCGACCTGGGGCACCAGGTGCTCTGTCAAGTACCGGCCGGTCATCCAATCGCGCATCAGCTCCCGATTCTCCCGAGAATGGTCGAGATAGGATCGTTCTAAGTGGCTGACAAGAAAAAGGTCGCCTCCCGGATTGAATACACCAGCTCCAGGCGGAAGCCATGGGTGAGGGTGAGGATGGGAGACTGTTGTCGGACGACCGTCTACGCGCATGTCCGGGTCAGGCAATACTGCATTGACGGGTTAGCGCGTGTGGCAGGGGCGTGATAAACAACTAACCAGGCCTAATTCCCACAGGATAAGTACGATCGGTACCAGCTCGAGGAATGGGACGGCTGCCAGGTGGCGGAGTGTTGAACCGTAGTGGGGGTTCCGGCCGACGTGCAGCAAGCGGAGGTGGTTGAGCGCGACCCTTGCCCTTATCCTTCGGAAGCGTGGCTATCGTGGAAGCAGGCGAGTTGACGTCGCCTGGCTCGGTCGGTGTCGAAGTTTGATCTCGAGACGGAACAGCGTCTAGTAGGTTGCTGCCCGGTGCCTCTTGAGCGCTCGCCACTTCCACAGGTTGCATCCTTTGTCCAGGCAAAGCTGGCGACGGCCGGTCATCCTGGGTGGTTGCCGAAGCGGAGCGTGACAATGCGGGCGCCTGCTGACGCCGTTTCTTCTTGGCAGGCTGGGCCTTTTTGCTCGCATCCTTGGGCGCGACATCCTCATTATCTTCGGAGGTGCGCTTGTTCTTCACTGCCACGGCCAGAGTCGCAGCCGCGCCAGACTTCGGTGACCGAGAAGGCATGCTGTCTGCCGTGTTGTCGCGATGTTGGGTATCGGGTGGGACGGCTGAAGCTGTCGCGCCCATCGAAGTTTGAGCAATTTGAGGAGCGGCTGTGGTCGGTGTTGCGGCTGTCGTCCCAGTCCCCTCAACGATAGGCACGCTGCCGTTACCCTGAGGCGCAGAGACGACGGTGTTCGGAACCGGAACCGAGACAGTCGGACCAGCGTCGGTCTCCATGGCGAAGGAGTCAACTGGGCCGGGCGAACCAGCAGCAGTCGCCGGGACTGCGGCGTCAACCGTAATCGGCGAGCCAGCTGGAGGCGCAGGGATCGTGGTGTCCTCGACCGGAACGGGCGAACCAACCGCAGTCGTGGACGGCGTCGTATTCTCCTGAATGGGTGAACCAGTGGCAGCGGCAGCCGGGACATTGGGCCCAGTCACCATGTCGGACGTCGCGCCCAGCGCCGCAGGCGTGGACGTGCTCTGGACGGACGCCTGAGGCGCCACATCTGCGGAGGCACTTTGAGCGGGTGACTGCGGCACAGGAGCCATCGAGTCATCCATACTCGGGATCGGCGGTACTGGAGGAAGCCCATCTGCTGCAGCTGTCGGAGGGGTGACCGGGGGAGGAGCGGTGTATGGCGCATCATATGGTGGTGCGGGAGGTGAATATGCCTGTTGACGACCTATTCCACCCCCTGATGCAGCCAGGCGGCCTATGAAAGAAGATAGGGATAAATGGAGGCCCTGTGAGTAGTACCCAGATATGCGTACCGTTTCGTTCGAGAAAGGCGGGAAATTCCATCACGCCGTCTGCCTCCAGGGAGTTGAGCAGTTGGAGGCGCAGGCTCAAGTCCGGCTTGAAACCCTTCACCAGAGGGTGTTTGGGGTTCGGCGTCTTGCCACCGCTGCACTTGTGCTTCGTCCAGTAACAATTGAGGCAGGAGGCGTTTCCACGGTAGATACACGCGCAGCCCAAGATCGCGCATTTGTCGCAAGATTTCTAGTAGTCCTCATCAGTTCGCCCACAATCAGCTGCCGGGCGCAAGTGCGTACCTCATACAAGAAGGCCTCTCTTGGGCGTCGTCGACTAATACCATGCATCTCCGGTAACTCCCACAAATCAATATCTCGTATCGTGCCGTGTGGAAGAGCGCGCAAGTACCGCTCGTGGGCATCATAATCGGTGACCTTGAAGGTCACATCGCCCACAAACCGTGCCGGGCGCAACCAAGGAGACCCGTCCCCGCGTCTGGTCCTTCCAGTGGCAGCAAAGGTAATTGACGGCGCCTCGCTGTTTGCTCGCGAGGTCGACTGAGCAGGATTGAAGTCACGAGTCGTCGTCGCTGCTACAACCGCACCGGCGCCAGGAATGTAATCCTCATCGCGCCGATCATCAACGACCGTGGTGTTCTGGAGGGCGGCCCGAGACGCATCTGCCGCCAGCCGTGTTGGCCTTCCATCTGATTCCCGAGCGTGGTCCTCTCCTGCGGCCTGCGGTCCGGAGTTCCTGACTGGCGAGTCCGCACGCTGAGATGCGTTCGCTCGCGTTCTGCCTGATGCCGTGCGGCGGAAGTGGTCTGTAATTCTCTGCCGCAGGACAACGCGAGTGAGGACACCGCCATTCTGAGCCTCTGTGAGGGCGTTCAGTTTAGCGATGAGAAGTAGAGAGACCCAACGCACCAAACCCGTACCACCACTGACAAGGGCCTAGTTCCGACGCTGGCAGAGCTCGCCTTGTGGACTGTTCGTCTGGCCAGCCTAAAGCAAGAAAGTCCCTGATCTTGGCATAGTTCCATCTTGTCGGACCGGGAACCTTCACTTCCTTGAGCACCATAGTCATCCAGTTTATGAGCGGTGCAATATAACGGTCGTCGTTGGCACTGATGGCAAGTTGCTAAAGAATTGATGGGTATAACAGCTAGTGGTGGAAGGGATGTAATACGCACCGTCTCAGTCTGCAAGAGAGCCCACCCGAGCTTGAGAGTGTCGCCGGTAGCGGTGCGCGCCACAGAGAACAGTATGTCGAAAGCAGCTTTGCAACGCTGCAACAGGATGACGTCGGGTTTGCTCGGGCTTGTCGTCAAGTGGGCCTCCAGCTCGGCCCGCAGGAAGGACGCGTTAATGATATCCTCGTCGTTACCGCCGGCGCCTGACATTACTAATGCAAGAAGATATGATTTATTAGTTGACACGAGCCCAGAAGAGCCTGTGCCCGGCGAGCCAGCTAGAGTAGACATGACAGGCATGACAGGAGGAACAGCGGAAGCGGACGCGCGAGATGGGGGGCGAAGTCAACCGTGTCTTGCGCCGGCGCGCCGATCTCACGCCTTCTTGATCCCATCATACGCGTGCTCGGCGCCCGCCGTCCCATTGACGCCCGACGTTCAGGGCTAATGCTCCGGAACTCGCCACTGTTGTCGCGTGATCGTGTTGTCCGCGGTGATGAGGTTCCACACCGTCAACGTTTTCCTCCCTGCGTCCATGCACCCGGCTTCCGCGGCCGCTGCTGGCCCCTGAGGTTCTCCCATCTCCTGCCGGTACATTCCGCGTTGTCATTGGGACGAGCGAGTCTTGCGTGCCTCCGCGGGGTTCTTCCCGTCTTCGTGCTTCTGGTGTCAACAACAGCTCTCCCATTGTACTGGATTCGGACGGAGAGATGGATTCGACTCATAATAATAGAGCCTTCATTCTCAGGCCGACAGCGCTGGATGACCTCTTCGACACTAACTTCACATTGAGCGATGCTGAGGACAACGGTACGCCCGTGCCTGATGAATGGCAGGATCTATTGTAGATAACCATACACTACAGACAACGGTGCCGTATCCTCTCCTGCAGCTCGGGTGGAACCATCGCGTGCGCCAACACCCCCTCCGGCGAGCGCCCCCACCGTCGCTGTAAGTCCAGCATTGGACGCCCCCTCAAAGCCAACGCCTGCGTCTCACACATCTGCTGCCACTGCGAGAAGCGTCGCGCGTTCCTCATCGTCCGTCTCGCAACATGCACCTACCGCAGCGGCCGCGGTGCCCAGATCTCATCTCTCGGACCCGTCTCGTTCGTCCGACAACCATAATACTACAACGGCAAACAGCACCCGGCCTGTCGCGTCCTCTAGCAGTACGGCTGGCGGCGGGTTTCACTCAGCGACTCATGCTGTCCCAGGGCCGTCAAGTACTCCTGCTACTCGCCCACAGCCAGCCTTTACTATTCCTGTCATTGGCGATAGGCCGCGGTACAGCATGCAGGCGCGCACTTCCGAACGCGATACGGCTTTCGATGTCGATGTACCCGATCAACTCAGCGACGCAGGCATCCTCAATTCCAGTATGTTCTTACTCTCCTCTTCACACGCGCCGAGCTCAAATCCAATAAGCCCATCTTAGACAGTGGCTCCGTGCGCACGTTGACCGATCTGTTGAGCTGCCGCCACATGCGGATACTTTGAACGCGGCAGAGGCTGCTACCGCGACTGCTCTCATGGTTCATTTACGCCGCGATGCTGAGAATTACTTGAGCATTCTCGACGCCATCAAACGTAACGCCCAGTTGATTGAAGACTTCGCAAGCTTGGAGCAGACCGTCTATGGCCTGTCCAACCACCCATTTGTGAAGGCAGCTGGCGCTGCTCAAGGGGTCGATGTCGTTCTGCCCGACTTCCCCGTCAATCGCGCTGCAACACAACTTTCTCCATCCGCCGAGGCTACCCCTGCCCCCCATCAGGCTTCGCCACCACCGGACGGCATTTCTGGTGCCCCACCTGCTCAGGGCGGCGGATCTTCAATGGACGTGGAGCCCAACCTCCCAGCAAAGTCGTCTTCGTTGGTGGAAGCCGCGGTACCCACAACATCAGCTCCAGGCGCTAACCCTCCCGCTTCATCGCAAACTGCCGCGTCACCGTGTACCTCGACCGTACACACCGGCAAGCCGCGTGCTTCTGGAGTCAGCGTTCGGGCTTTGGGCGCCTCTCTCATGCGCCTTGGAACTTCCTCTCCCCCTCCAGAAACATCGGCTCAAGACCCGATAGCAGGTCTTTCTGGAAGCCATGGCTTCCGACAATTCCTGGTGCCGCGGGGCTCCGCGCGCGAACCGTTCTCGCACCCAGCTGCCGCGTCGGCTGCCAGCCAGCCAACATCTTCGGTCCCCCCTGTCTACCAGAAAGTTGCGCGGCAACGCCGGCCCAACACTGGTCGTGGACCGGCATCGGCGGCAATGCAATCAGCTGGCACTACGTCAGGTTCGTCATCTGTGCCCACGGGCGCAGCGTCTGGCACCGGTCCTTCCCAACGGTCTGTTCCGTCGGGTGAAGTCATTGAAATCTCGGAAGACGATTCCGATATCCTACCAGTTATACCCCCGCCCCCGAAGAAGAAGAGGAAGCTGGGAGCGTAAACGTAGCATGGGGAGGACCCATTCTGACAGTATCATCCTTGGACAGTAATCTTGATTGCCCTACATCGTCCCTATTTTTACAATACTATATCTTGCAACATGTCCACCATAAAAGCGTCGCCTCCCTTCGCTGACACCACCGGCTAGTTGTTCTTCGTGAGATGAGCGCAGGATTGAATGCCATCTAGAAGATGACTGCCTACCTGTGTGTAGGCTATGCCCGGCTCTTAGTGGTGTCTGTCGTATCTCCGCTGAGGATTCCATGCGTCTCAGGCAGGCCCTTGAGGTCTACTCTAGCGGCAACCGCGTGCTGACATCCAGCAGGGCTGGCGCTGACAACGGCGCACAGTTCCGGCGGTACCTGGGGGTCTGGCAGATCCACGAGGTCCGGCAAGTCCTCGAGATCTCCCTTGTCCTGAGCTAGGCCCTGACGCTCAGCAGCTCCCATCCCATCTTTGCTAACAACGCCATGCATCTCCGGCAGTGGCCAGAGAATGCTCTCCAGTGGATAATGCCTGGCTGGACGCAACCACGGCCAGGGTGAAGAGTTGGAAGGGTTGGAGGCCGTTCCTTTGTCCTGCTCATGGACAGGGAGATGCGAGGTGGAAGGGTTGGAGGCCGTTCCTTTGTCCTGCTCATGGACAGGGAGATGCGAGGACTGATTTCCAGAATGAGCAGGGGTTGAAGAGTTGGCCATGATGAATGTCGATAAAGACTTCGGGACTGAGCGTTCTAGGGTCGCAGTTGATTGATGATTGATGATTCGTGGAATTTTGAAGTCATACCAAATATGTAGGGACAACTAACAACATCCCTATGACGTACCGGTTATGTTCCCATGACCGGACGGCGGCGCCTCGGGTGTTCGAGTCCCGATAAGCCCTCGTCATCTGGATGTTTTTACTGACGCTTAGCCTTGCGACATCGTCTAGCCTTTGGCACTCAAAGAATTTGTTTAGATAATGCCACTATGATGAGACACATATAATGAGACACAAATGGTGGGATTTTTCTGCTATAGAATACAATGCAAATTGAGAATACATATTGCACAGAACTAGCTTAATTCCTATCATCGCGGCGCATCCTCTTGGTCGCCGGGCCAGCCTCTGCATCGTTACGGGCAGCCCCCACTTCATCATCTGAAGGCGCATGCCGACGTCGGACACGGCTGGAGACCCCCGTCAACCTGGGTGTCGAGGACGATGCCTCAGTACCACCCTGCCAGGCAGGGGGCATGGCAGCAAGAGGCCGGCATTCTACTGGGTGAACGAGGCGGCGACCAGACAATATAGACGATAGGGCATCAGCGTACGACATAGAGCGAAGACTTGATAAGGCGCCAGCAGTGGACACGGCCTCAGCATACGACAAGGGGCGAAGAGGCAATAAGGTGCCAGCACTGGACACGGCCTCCTCATAGGAAGGCGGAGGTGAGCGCGGATCCCTGACACGACCAGCAACGCCAATGCCGGCGTTGGTGGCACCCATGTCGCTCTCGTTACCCCCGGAACCGGTGCCTGCACCAGTGGCGTTGTAGCCGCCCCCGCCTTCGAGCTGGCCAAGAGCGTCAGCGCCAACCTCGGAATCATGGCCTGCGCTATGTCCATCGCTATCTCGACCATTGTGTCCCTCGCTGAGAGTGTCGGTGCCGCTGTAGGAATCATCATCCGTGCCGCTATCGGAAGCATCGTCGGTGCTAAACCCTTGAAACCTGCGTCGCCCGAAGTTGCTCGTTCGGCTGGTGTACGGCGGGAACCGACCACGCCGTGCAGTCTTGAAACGGGGATGGCGAAGGACGGGGATTGGGATTGGCGTGTCTAGGTTCTGATGACAACGTTCGCAGATGTTGGGGGGCGCTGGAGAGTCGGTGCCTCTTTGCGCCGATTCGCTACTGCTAGATCGCTCGTCCTCCGACTCAGAGCTGGGACTAGACTGAGCGTCGTCCTCACGGATGTCCTGGAGTCTAGTCGATGGTGATGTAGGAGAGCCGGCAGCCGCCCGTACAGAGGCGCTCGAATCACTCTCTAGTGTTGCTGAATCGCGAGAGGAGCGTTCGACGGTGGTCGGCGAGCTAGTATCGGGAGCCATTTCTGTAGGCGAGGCGCATGAGTGCTAAATCAAACAATGACGCGGTAGACGAATATGGGGCATACCTGGCAAATCGGGTACTAATTCGCTCATGGCATACAGTAGGCTGGTCCTTGATCACTGTCAGAGGGAAAGCGTGGAATGTGATGCTTCGTTGGCGGCATTGATCGGAAGTAATGCGAGCATTCGGGAAGCCGGATATCGCCGGGATTTATGATGTCCTCTCAATACGGAGGTTTGATCCTTCCCGCCCAGGTCCGCGAGCCGAAAACAGAGGAATCCAACACGGTCTCGTGATCTTGTTGAGTCTCATTGCTGATGGTAGGATGAAGCAATCTCTGTCAACTACCATCCCCACCATATGAGTGAGCTCTTCTTACTATCCCCCCACTCTCATATGTCGATATCTCTCTCGTAGGCGTCTGAGTTCCTGCCAGATGCATGAGTGACCGTGAATGGCCCTGGTGCGACTCAAGCATCCCAGTTCAGTCATACCTGTAACACTAATCTGCTTCTAACACGCAGCGTACTCTCAGTGGAGTGCAAGTATGAGTGTTCCAACTATATATCGACCTTCATATTGTCTTAGCGCCTGCCCGTATGAAGACACAGGTCGGGCGCTTCCAACCTGCTGGACCTTATGACATCCGCCCTTCGGGACCTTTCACGAAGTTCCACGCACCGTCCGGAAGTGTGAACTGTTTAGTTGTCGCGGCAGGCTGCGTGGACATCACACGCTGCCGTAATCAATGCCGAGAGAAGCGCTTCGACTCTGGAACCTGGTACTCCACGTTAAAGGGATTGTGCTGGGCATCTGGAACTCACAAGCTCCAAGTTCTGGAACCCCAAGGTCTGGGATTAGCCCCCCAGCCTTGGAACTTTACTCCGTACCGTACATATGCGCCTGTAACCTATTAATTAATCTGCGATATTTCTAATAATAATAAAAACATGCATCTGGAGATCTATTTGAGTAGAGATTCTAGAGAGCCACGTCAGATGTTCCAGACACACACCAGTTCCGACGGTCACAAGACAGCGAGGATCTGGAGGTGATGTACTAGTACTCCCAAAGGCCTGCCCTACAGTTGGCTCCACTCGGAACTAGCTACAGTTACATATGGGAGTGCTCGGAACTAGTTACAGGTGGTTGTCTATACCAATGGGACCATCTTGTGGGCAAAGTGTTCAATCTTATAGTTGACAATTGCTTATCCCTTAGAATGTAGTATCATGATGATGCATCTTTATCTGCCATTAGCCAGGCTAAAAGACCAGTCATTATCCTTGATTCACGGTTTTAGCATGCTAAAGGGGGTCACAAGTATCTACATACAGTGTTTCGGGGACACAACGACCTTCAATTCCACGGCAAGCAAACGTTCACGCCATTTTGAAGTAGGTTCGCTTTCTCGGATCCGTCTATCTCCATATGTAACAATATTTCACATTTCAGATTCTTCGTAAGGATGAAATTTGGCCCTTGACCTGACTGTATGGCGCGTGATAACTGGATTGATAGTCGTTATGTGTTCAATTGCTTTCGCAGAGGTCATCCGGGACAGCATACGGTTGGACTCCTGTGAGAGATGTTATTCATGCTCTTGGTCCTATGAGCATCTCAGTTGAGTTGCGCTACTTCACATACTACGGGATCTCTCTTGCGACTGACTGCTCCATACGCCCACATTCGTCCGGGCGCTGGCCAAGCGTTGCTGTGGATGCTTTGACGCCTTGTGCAGAGACTGCTGACGCAGAGATCTCAGATACTGACGGGGTGCACTGCTCGCGTTACAGGTTGCAAACCCGCCAGCTCCAACTCCTGGAGGACAACACGAGTCATTCCGCAACGGGAGGTGTATGGGCGTTTGAGCATAAAACCTCAAGGCGACAGGTCTGTACTCTTGTCATAATATCACCACCTGCCGATCTTTCGCCAGTCAACATGACCTCCTCCTCCTTCGATGAGCTGCTCGCCGAGATGCATGCAAGGCTTGCACTGGGCGAGTCTTCCGCTCTATCTTCCATCTTTGGGCTCGACATCGCCGTCCAAATCACCTTCCGGATCGCCCGGCACGCTTGGAATCTTACGCCCGCCACTGCACGGCCCACTATTGATGTCTTCACAAAGTACTGCTGCAGCTCCACACATGCGACGTCGATCACCGACTATGACGGGAATTCATACGGCCATCTGATGAGATGCGTTCCCTTCCTGTCACATCCGTTCATTGAGTACTTCGATGCCCCGACGTACGGTATTGGAACGTCCGCGCCCTACATCGTCGATGCTGGCATACCGGCCGGTTATGCCGCTATCCCTTCTACATTGTTTGCACCGTATGCGGAAGGAAACCCGCAGCGGCGCAGTCAATCTACCCAGAATCACGTACCGCCCTTGCCGATCTGGTTCTTTGAACATGATCCCCGAGCCGACGACTACAGCTTCGGGCTTTCGATCGAGAGGGCATACAAGGGGAATACGAACATTCTTTACGGGCGTCGTGAACTCAACATCCTCAAGCGCAAGACGTCGCTCAAGATGAGGTTCAACGTACGTCATTCAACTCAAGCTTCTAGTGTCTTGAGCGCTTCACTGTGATATGTGTCTCATTTCTTCACAGTGGCCCCGTCACACTTCCTCTGAGAAGCAAATCCGTGGAACTAAGAAGTCGCCCATGCACAGCATCGACCGCCTCGCTCAGCTTACTGCCGGCGCCGTCCGGAACTTCATGATTGTACGCCCCGAGATTCGGACACTAGTAGATGCTATCATGTACTGATTCCCTCCAGGACCAGATGACCGCTTTCAAAGGCGATCGCGATGCTCACCCGTGGAGTATCGGTACCGGTACCGGAGAAATCGGTGTCCAGGATGTGTTACTCTTAGGCGTTCTATTTGTCTCTGATGGTACTGCGATGCCACTCCTTGCTTCGTGTCTGAAAGTTTAGATGTCGCTTCCGCGCACTGTATGGCAGAGTATAGAGGGTGGAAAAGTTGTCGCGCATGAGTCGCAGTACCTCTGCGGTTTGGGAAGGCGGGACTGGCGTTGAGTAGATTACAATGGTTATGCATGTTTCCGAGTATCGGGTGCAAGAGACGCGCGTTCGGCTGACGCGTCGACGCGCCTGAGAATTCGCGGTCACGGTACCGCGCCTCGCGCGAAGTTCGTTCGCGAAAAGATTTCCTCCCGAAACTACAATGTTGGTAGACCAGTCCCACAGCGGTCTGTCGTTCGAGCAGACTTGTCCCGGCTCGCTTGGTAGATCGAGCGCTTATCATTGGCTCCTGCTGAGTCGTGCCTAAGCATGGCCCGAAGCGCATGTACTTCTGGTGAGATTGTGTCAACTTGAATGCGCACTTCTGTGGGAAGCGAGCCGTCAATCATCACGGTCCTGACCACTGCTAAGGCACGGTCCTCTACACGTATCGTATCTTCTCAGGCCGTCGTGCATACTAAGAGCAGCCGAGAGAAGTCATCAAGTAAAGCGCTACTATCTACCCAGAGGTTGTAAACCTCCTGTCTCCTTCTCTGGTTCCTGATCTCTGCGGTTCATGGGGGACCCTCAAGGGCAACTTGTTGCGCCGCGACTCCGCATCGCCATCTGGTGAGCTCGCCTGTATATTGGTTATGAGGTGCATAGGGAAGAATCTCAATGCGGGGCCAGTGGTGGTGGTATCTCGGGTTTGACACTGGCCGTGGCACTCAGCCGTGTCCCCGATCTCGATATCCAGCTCTATGAAGCGTCTGCACGCTTCTCTGAGATCGGTGCAGGCGTAATGATCTGGTTCAGAACGTGGAGGGTGCTCGAGTTGCTTGGACTAGCCGAGGGGTTTGCGGAGGTCGCCCATGCACGACCGTCATCTGCCCCGGGTGAGCGCAGTTCATAGTTATGTATCTTCTGATTCAATGACAATGGGGCATGTAGGAGTTGGCTTCGACTTCCGGCGCTCAGATACCCAAGGGCAGGGAGAGCCTTTCCAGCTCTTCAAACTTCCATGTACGCCCCGTACCCCCGAAAGCCACGGGAACGAGACCCAGCACTGAAGCTATCTGTGAAGACGGCTGCATACGCTTTCACCGTGCCCACTTCCTTGATGTCCTTATCGCAGCACTCCCACCCGGGATCGCACACTTCCACAAGCGTCTCCAGTCCTTCTCTTCTCCATCATCGTTCGATGTGGCGCCCACTCAGCTCACGTTCACGGACGGCACAACCGCCACATGTGACGTTCTGGTCGGATGCGATGGAATCAAGTCCGTTGTGCGCACGGGTATGCTGCTCGAAACGGGTCTGTCGCAGCTCGATAGGCCGAGATGGAGCGGTACAGTCGCATATCGCGCTCTCGTGCCCGTTGAAAAGCTGCTTGATCCAAGGGATGGGACGATGCACCCAACGGTGAACACGCCGATGATGTACTGCGGAAAGAGCAAGGTGCCGTCCGTTCTCTTTGCATCCAGTAGACGAGTTGGCTGAGAAGGCGCAGCATGTGGTCAGCTATGGCATCTCGCGTGGGACGGTGGTAAACATCGTCGCGATGGCTTCGCAACCCAGCCTTGAAGGGACAACATATGATGGTTCTTGGGCGAGTGAATGCACCCGCGAAGAGTTCCTGAGGCAGTTTGAGGGGTGGGAAGACGAGGTCGGGGATCTGCTTCAGGTGCGTTTGGGTGACTGGCAGCCCGACTGCAGCACTGAAACTCGCAGTAACTAGCACGTAGAGCGCCCGACGAAGTGGGCGCTGCACGAACTTCCCCTTCTCCCGTCATACACCCACGGACATACTGTCCTCGTAGGAGATGCCGTATGTCTTCCCCGTCTTGCGCTTTCCGTGCGCGTCTTGGCATCCTCTTCAACTTTGATAGGCTCATGCGATGCTACCGCATCACGGCGCGGGAGCCGGCCAAGCGATCGAAGACGCGTACATCATCTACGGCATTTTCGCCTCTCCTTCGACGACGCGCGCCACCCTTCGTCAGGCCTTACAGGCCTATGACGCTGTCAGGCGGCCTCGCGCGGAAGTCGTCGTTCGGAGATCAAGAGAGGCGGGCAGGATGTATGAATCCGACGAGGGAGTGTATGGGGAAGATTATCGCAAGCGAGGCGAGGCCATCGCAGCGAGTTGGGGCTGGCTTTGGGACGGCGGGCCGGAGGAGGACTTGGAGCGCGCTTTGGCGCTATCAGGATCTGATGTTGAGGCGAAGTCTGGCGAAGTAAACGCATTGATCTGCAACATGCGTCGCACGCAACCCAAAGAATAACTTGATTTGCTTGGATTGCGCCAGGTATACATAGAAACAGTAAGGGTGCAAACATCCCTATCAACGAAGTACGAGACTTTTGACTATCGTTTCGATGACCACTCAGCACGACGAGAGCCCGCTGAGTCCAGAGCCGCACGCATTCGTGAAGGAGTCCGCCTTTGCGTCGGTGATGCTGATGCCAGAGAACGTGATGCCCGTGCAGGGCGTCGCCTTATTGCAGTCGAGGAGGACAGCAGGGCGCGTCGGGGTGCCGGTACCAGTGAAGCCGCTGTACGAGATGTCCGAGATCTGGAGCGAACCGGTGTCGGAGGTTCCGCCCTCCCAGAACACCGAGATGTAGATCGGGTAGGCGGCAGCGCTGAGCGTAAAACCTTCGAACTTGACGTTCTTGACGTATCCCTTGTTGTTGGGGTAAGACTTGATCATAGTACCCGCGTCTGAGTTGGACTAGTGCAGAAGTGAGGTCTACGTGTGTCGTGAGGTAATGAGCTACTCACAATCGTGACGCCATTGAAGGTAACGTTGTTGATCGCAACAGCCGTGTTGGCACTTCCGAACGAGCCCTGAGAGCGTGTCAGCCAGGAAGCGACCGATGAGCGCCAGAATTACTAACAATGTTGCAACCAGCGGTGTATCTGCACTCGATGTTCTCAGCAACGAAGCCCTATGGGGAGTCAACTTCGATAAACGAGACGAAGTGAGAGAGACGTACGTCAGTCGGCGTCTTTACTGTGACACACTCGTCGCCGTTCTCGACCGAGACATCATGAACGTAGTTGTTATTGCCTATACGGTCAAAAAGTTAGGCACTCGCTGTGTTGGGGAGGTGGCACATCGGACCATACCTGACATGTCGAATGCGTCCGTCTCGCCAATGTGGTCCGCACGAACGGCCATGTCGTGCACGACGTTGCTGTGAGGGGTAGGCGTAAGCCAATGAACATGACGTCTAGTACGCGGCACTTACTCGTTCCCGATGATAGTGACATGGAACATGGGCGCGTTGTAGAGTGTGACCTGAGTCAACTCAACGCTGCGGTGGAAAGCCTTATGAGTTGCTGCACAGTGCTTTGCAGGAAGGCACTCACTTGTTGCAGTTCTGGAAGCGTAGCAGACGCGGACGGTTGGGGTACGCAGAGAGCTGGAACGTCGTCAGCAAGTGAAGAAGGATCACAGTGGACAGTCATAATACGCACATCGCCGTTCTGCCTCCACCAATAGCCATTGCCGTAGATCCTACCCGGGCCATCGAACAAGATGTTGTTGCAGTTCTAGCGTTACGTATGAGACTCGCCACTTCCGGCCCAGAGGGAAGCATCAGACGAACCTCGAACTCGATCATGGTACCCGTAAGACTGCCGTCGAAGGGCAGGTAGATGTATCCTGCCAGATGGAACTCGAAGTCGGACACGTCGTCCAGGAGAACATTGCTAGCAAGACGGTAGTTTCCAGACGGGATGTACAGGAGCACATCTCCGGGCGTGCCAGTGGTCTGGCCCTTGACGCAGTTAGTGTACGCCTTGGTAATAGCCGGGCCAAGATCGGTAGAATTGTCGGCGACCGCGCCGTAGTCGAGAACGTTACACTCGACGTAGGCGAGTGCGGGTGCGATGAAGAGCGCCGCGAGAGAGACCAGGGACAACAGCATGGCAAGCCAAAGGAACGCGATGAAGCGGACCGAGGGTCAGTATGCCCTCGGTGAAAGTCCTTATATACGGGCATGCTGAACTCCTTCGTTACAGGCGACGAAACTTCGAGCCGGTATGAGCACGCGCGCCCGAAGTAACGGCCGTGCTATTTTTGGGAGGCGGCGACGAGGCGGATTCGTCTTGGCGCGGCAGAAGCGGTGGCAGTACGAGCACCAGGTACTGTCGTGACCAGAGCAACGTCCGGAGGACGTTCTCTCGCTTTCTGCGCAAGATGCGTAAATGGACTTCGGATGAGCTACGGCCCGCCCGGGAATATCCAGGTGACGATTCGATCAACTGTCCTGAGTACGAGGATGCCTTCGGATGGGATAAAGCTCGGATGCCCTTATGCAGCTCTGCACTTCCGGTCCCATCGACGTATGGATGGAGGATGTGCGGCGTGGGAACAATGTTAAACCTCGGGCGTAGACAGTCAAAAGACCGTCAAAAGGTGAGACGCGCGACACCTGGGCGGCCCGCCGAAGTGCGGGGTAGATTGAGTACTGTAGCTCCTGATCAATTATATCATCTAGTCAAACATGCACTCATACGAACAAAGCTTCAGTACCGGCTCCCTATGAATAGGCAGCGAAGGGTTTGTGTGCTCGACCGCGTTGACCGTGTCGCGGACCGGCGGGAAAGGCTTCGCCATGTGGACCGCCGGCTTCCGTTGCCTAAGTAAGGCCGTATTGGGCGCGATAAACCGCATCTACGAGAAAAAAACAGTAGATGCATGCAGAAGGAACTATGCGGATTGTGTATAATAGGCGACATGATGGTCGAGAGCAAACACCGACCTACTGCAAGCGCCCTCGCAACGCGCGACAGGGGCACTGGGCGCGGCGAACCCTGCTCTGCTTCACACCATCACCACCGGCCCGATCTATCAGCTTACGGACCGGCAACTAACTCGGCGTCTATCCTGCACAGATGTCGCGTTCTAACGGATTGGCTCCCAAAGTCTGCGACGCCTGCTTCAAAGACTTCACGCCAGGGGTCAAGCCGAAAAAATGTAGCGCGTGCGGGTATGTCCGCGCCGCGACCTACACCTCTGCGCACTCTGATATCGCCATTTCGAAGCAACGCATTCTACTGCTCGAAAGAGTGCCAAAAACACGCATGGAAAGTGCACAGGATCCCGTGCAAGAGACAGTCTGAAGCGGTCAGGAATCTCGATGAGGATGAGCGGAAAGGATACAGAGCGGTGGCGAAAGTGATCACGAAGTGGGGAGACGCTTGGAAGTTCATCTTCATGGGTCTTGCGCCGTACATACTGAACCTACCGGAGAAGGGCCCTAAAGTCCTACAAGATAATTGGTGCGCGTTATGTTCCCCTGTGACCGACGCGTCTGAGCGATCAAAGCATCGTGATGTACCTGGAAAGGCGGCCAGACGCATTCAACGACGCCACAGCTTATCAGGTGCGTCGCCGGGCTTCTCGGCCGTGGTCTTCTTGCGATCCTGAAGTTGTCATTGTGCAGCTACACCACGGAAAGGTCTTCCAGATCGATGAATGGTGCGATAAAGAGATGCCTAAGCTTGAATTCGATAAAGAGGGCATCGAGATGTTCAGAAGAGGAAGTCCTTCGCCAGACTTTGACCCTGCCACAACCGAGTACACATGCGCGCGGTTTGCCTTTTGTCACGGCCCCGGCTTTCAGTATTGTCGGCTTTCTATCCTCCCCATTGGCAAGGAAGTCGACAAGGACACCGAAAAGGAGATGCGGCCGATGTACACGGCGATGAAGACGTCCGGATGGGATGTCGTCCTGAAACGTGTGATTGACACCGGGATGGACCCGGATCGTTGGGACGCTTTGGAAGACGATTTTGGCGACGCAGAAGACGCAAGCTGTATAGTGGTACGTGAACCATTCATGGTCAACTTCGCACGCCTTACGTCTTCGACTATCTCCAGTGCTGAGTACTCACACGCCTTGATGGCGTAGACGCCTCGATGTGGATCAATAGGCAGACCTGCTCTGGCGCCTCGCGCACAGTCGCTCTCGAGCCGGCAGTGAACCAATTGACTTACGATAGCTTTGGGGCGTAAACAGGGCAGTACGATCATGCATGTCATAGTTCCTGCGCTTCAGAAACGAGATTCAGCGCACGAATCTAGATCATAGATCACATTTGTGTACAGGTATACGTCAAGTGCGGCCGCATCACAATACAGCGCTGCATAATCCATCAGCATTCCCCAGATCGATCCCCGTGTAGGCAGTTTGGTCTGTGTATCATATGTCCAACGTTAAATTCACCTTGCCTCACTGCTGGAGCTCGAGAACAAACGCGCCTCGTTTTCGCCGAGCTGTATAGAGGCAGTGAGAGCGGATTATCAGCCCTGCATGCGAATAGCCCGATTTCCCGTCTCGGCACGCGCTTCGTCTGCTCTATTCGGGCTTTACCTGAGTGAGAACAGATATGGCCGCGGTAGATCCCTTCGGCGTCAGGTCCAAAGGGTTTGACAGAGACCGCATCGGTTGGTTATCGGGCCTGTGTAGAGTTTGAAGCTCGGACCTGCTCTCACAGTACTTTGAGGAATGGTAGTGGGAAGTCCTGAACAGAGTCGCGCGCCGTGCGCGGCCACACAAAGGCCACACATCTCCGTGACGCGTGACGTCATGATGAGCGTCCGACGCCCGTTGATCGCGCAGGAATTGCGGCCCGACAGGTGAGCGATATCGATTCAGGCAGCAAGGTCACTGCACGAGTCGATTTTGAGTCGATTCAAGAGTACTAGAGGAGCGGCCCATTCTGGTAACCCGTACGGCACACCTTATCCGAAGGCTCCGCAGCAGGGCGCGATACATGAAGGATGCGGAGAGCGCGGTTGAGGGCGCTCCGGCGGGGCAAGTGAAACGTGCTCTCGACCACGTTTTGACTGTCCGGCGCTTCGTGCCTCGGCATACAAAGCAGATTATGCGGGGCGCGAGTATGTGGCACACTCTCACGTCAGTGAGGACAGATGCGCTGGCAGAAAGGGCAAGGGCAAGAGGACGCCGCCCAGGGTCATGACGGGCGCGGTCAGAACGGCAGAAGAAGACCGAACGGGTAGGATAGTGACAACAGAACAACCGGCCGTACCGCGTGGGCGGGTGCATAAGAGGCCAAGGGCGAGGCCATACAGTGCTCTTGCAAGCCTCGTGTGTCTGATCAACTTGTTCGACGACCGCGACGTCGTCGCCTAGACGTCGCGCTCAAGCCAAGCTCTATGCTCATGCACGCGCGCCCGTCACCGACACCGCGCGCGCACCGTGGCAAGCTATTCTCCATAGGCGGCGACTCTACACCACCGAATGCGAGTCCTACGCTGAAGGCGAGCCGGCGTGCCAGCGGGGATTCTTCGCTTTTCTCAGCTTGGAGAAGTACGCACGTTTGCTCTGCGATTGAGGAGATTGCAGAGGAATCGGAGCTTCTGGACGACGCTACGCCGCTACAAAACCGTCGTCATAGGCATAGACGGAAGCTAACAAGATCGAACTCATTCCCCTCCCCCGTCGCCCTCATCAGCTTTCGGACGACTACTCCGGTGCACATTCTCCCCGCGTCCTCTCAAACACCACCCCCGCCCCCGCCTCCC